CCCATCGGCCGCTTTTACAAGTTGGCCAGATCAGGATCTTCAAAAAAGGGGGTCGACCGACTAAAAAAATTTATTGCAGGTTTCGATTGGTCTCAGCAAGACCTTTTCAACGAGGGGTCGGAAGGGGGGGTCCAGGAGCCCACCTGCATGAGTTATGGGAAAAAGTGCGACGGACTCGTTTTCCCGTACGAAAATGATGGAGTCCGAAAAGCAGCCAAAAACAGCCGTTTGCGGACCGTCCGAAACGGCTCCGAAAGTCGGACGGGGACAGTTCCTAAATCCGTCCTCGGACAGTTCCCAAAAACATTGAAAAAGACCAAAGTCAGAAAGATTCCGGACTTTTCCTGAGTACCAACGCTAGTCGAAAAAAACGGACAGTCCGAACAAATGCACCAGCCTGCTGCCCCCGCCCCCCCTTTCCCCCTTCCCCCTTTTCCCCTTTGGACGCAGGTTGCTTCGGCCGGCCGGCCGGGGACTTTTCCCCGGGAGCAGCGCCCTAGCGCCGGCTCGGCTGGGCAGCCTCCACTGCCGAGGCGGCTCGGCTCCGATCGGCTCGGCTCAGCTCGACTCGGCTTGCTCGGGGGCATGGTGGCGGGTCACACACGGCAAGGGGCGCTATTAGCCTCCAGTGGAATATTACACACAAATTTTGATCATGCACTAAGTGTATCATACCTGCAAGTAAGGGAGGGTGGGGCACCATGACCACTGGGGCACCATGACCACCCCCCTCGCTCTCGGGAACTACTTTGCCGACGGCAACCCGGGCGACCCGGGCTTTCGAGAGAATAGAATTTAACTATTTTCAGCCAGAGCCCTACCTTCTAGCTTCAAGGGTACGACCATAGCACCTCGCCAAAATTTTTTTTACAGCGTTTTTGGCTAAATTGGGCGTTTTTCAAATCTGGGATATTTTTTCTCACTCTCACATTTGAGAGGATAGGTTCGATGTCTTAGGTTTTTCTCAAAATGTCGGCTCTTCGGCAAAATATTCAACATCACATTTAATTCTAAGTAGTTGTTTGCTTTCTCGGGGAGCCTTAGAGTCGTAAACTGCACTGTGGGGCACCATGACCACTTTTTAGTGGGGCACCATGACCACACATATTTGAGTGTTTTTTCTCATATTTTGGCCTGATAATGATTTATTTTTGTCGAAAATTTGCTTTTTGCTTCTGAAAATGTATAAAGGTTGAATAATTGCTGCAGAATAGATAGTTTTATCACAAATTTGTGATAATTTGTGAATCACCAAGATGATTAAGAATGGTTCTGAAACTGAGACTTGAAATGGTGGTTTCTCTTGCACTAAATGAGCTCCAAACCGCAAAAGTTGGCCACGAAGGCGATCCGTGGCTACTTTGCACCAAGATGGCTCTGGCATTATGAGAAACAGCATTTAATTCACTTGTTTGCAGTGTAGTAACCGCGATAATTTTCTTAAAATTTACCAAATTGAAATCTGCATACGAATTTGGACTCGTCTTAGCAAGACAAACATAAAATGTTAACACATGTCATAGCTTTGGATGTGAAATTTGAAAGCCCTAGAGCGTTAACTGTTTTAAACCGTCCATTTCAAGGCATCTTAGAACGTTTGATACTTCGAAGGTTTTTACAGTGTTTTTTTTAGTTTAGTTGACTGGCCTGATGGTAATGACAGCGATATAAACAATTTCAATGAGAATACTGGTAGAAAGTACACTTTTTTGGGCCAAAAAATTACTATGGTCATGGTGCCCCACGGGGTGGTCATGGTGCCCCATAGGTGGGGCACCATGACCACTTTGCGTTTTATTTTCCAAAGTGTTCTGTGAGCCTGCCGTGCATTGCAGACAAGTTCCAATGGGTGGAAGAGGTCCTTGGAGGTCCAAAGAATCCCCTCATGCTAGAAACTTAACTGTTCGAACCACACGGTGGAGTAGAGGGAGGCACAAAAAAAAGGTGGTCATGGTGCCCCACCCTCCCTTACATGCCTGCACAAGCGAACTCGTTGAAGTTGTTTGCAAATGATGGAAACACTTGGGGACGAGGGTGAAAGAAGAGAGGCGAATAAAATAATACACCTCCCACCCTCTCACCACCCGTCCTTTAAGTTTGAGAGACAGACACACACACTTGCGGTAGCCAGCAGCCAGTGGATAGTTGTTTGTTTGGGACACTTCGTACAGCAACGCACTCAAATTCGATCAATGTTTAGGAAAACGCCGTACACGACACCTCACCAAAAATTACTTCCAGAACAGTCGCGAATCGCCTGAACATCGCTCCGAGAAAGTATCGAGCGAAAAGTAGATGTGACTTGTGCGCGTTTTTCTGTTCACTGATCACAGATGCGCTGCTGTGCGATGTGACTCGCTCAACAGCTCGCCGTAAACTGGCGAAAACTGCATCTCTGGCCGCGTCCGCCAGGGCGCCAGGTAACCTCGGCGACCCTTCGGCGTGCTTCGGCATGCCGGCGAGCGGCGATTTCCGCGTACCCAGTTGCCGGGACGTCCGGGCGCCCCGGCTCGGCTCAGGTGCATGGGCCGGCTGGGCTCCGGCTCGCCTCTGCTCGACTCGAGCCTCGCGGGGCCTGGCGGGTTGGGCCAGCGAGGGGCTGCAGTCCGGGACAGCTGCACCTAGGCAGGACTCCTTCGGACAGTCCTTGACTAAGAGTGGTTCTGAAACCAAGAAACGGAACTGTCCGGTCCGGACTCCGATTCGGCCCGGACTCGATTCGGGCCTAACCAGAGGGAAAGCGGAACTGTCCGGGGCTGGTGGACAAGTTTGGAATAGTCCTTGGCTAGGTTTCGGAACTCTTCGCTATTGTAAGGGTTGCGCTCCTGCTGTGCCTCTATTGCAAGGAGTTGCAGTAGCATGGCAAATATGGGTATTTTCGGAATGAGGGCGAAGAGACAAATGAAATGGGCATATTCTAAGGACAGTTGGAGTAAAAAGTGTAAGGACTATTGCATATTGTGAATAGAAGGGCGGGCCTAAGTCACGATGGTACATCGATAACTTTGCTTTACCCGCTCACGGGGTGTGTGATGCGAGCGGGCCGAAGGCCCGGGCCTTCGACGGGCCAAGTTGGGTCTGATGCGAGGGCCGAAGGCCCGAGAAAAGGCCGCCGGCAGGCCAAGCTGGGCCGGCCCCCTGTCGAACCGAGTTGCCGGCGCAGCGAAGCGGAGCTGGCTACTCGGTCCGACGGAAGGGCGGGCCCTAGCTTGTTATAGCCGAAAAACACATAAAAACGGCGAAAAATCGAGTTTTCCGCAGGCAGATTACTTCTGTCTTGAAGAAAGGGGGTCTGGGGGGCCGAGCCCCCCAGCCCCAACAAGTTAAAAAGTTCCAAGGGTCAAGATCGTGTTATCTGAAGCATCTCTACCTAGAATGAAGGGGTGTCTAAGGGGCGGAGCCCCCCAGAAAGAAACCAGTTAGAAGTAACCGACGACGGACAAGCCATTGCCTGCCGAAGGCAGGCTAGCAGGGCGGGATAACTTAACGTTACCGATAACATAACGGAAAGTCAAGAGATACCGTTATTTCTCTTATAGATGGTTGGTTAGTTATTTTTTTTAACGAAAATTTTGTGTTATTGTCGTGATAACGTTAAAACAATACCAAAGCACTTTGCGTTATTGAAATAACGGTAATGTGAATAACTGGAATAGCTTTGCGAAAAGATAACGGTTATTTCTGCCAAAAGACAAGAAGAAATAACGTTATCTCCGATAACATTTAGAGCATGGTTTGGAATTAAAGTTAATATTTGGCCTCTCGAGTTCACTTTTATGTTAATAACTATATCCGTTTCAATGATAGGAAAGAAATAACGTTATTTCTCTTAAAATTAAGAACATGTTACGAAATTAAAGTTAAATGTTTGCTCTTCGATTACGTTAAAAGCTCTGAGCGATTGCTGCACAAAAGAGACAGAGGTTGACATGGGCATGAACGAGGCGCGCAGCAGTAGCGGGTCTAGCCCTAGAGCCAGCCTGAGCGAGGGGCAAAGTGGTACCTTTTGCCTGCTTACTGGAGCAAAGTGATGCTTTTGGCCTTCGAGCGGATCTAGAATCTAGGGGCAAGGTCCACCTCGTCCTCCGCTCTCCCCCTTCCCCTCCATCTTTACCCCGTTTTGCGCTTCCCGCGTGGCGGCTAATCTTAGAGCCATCATCTGAAGTTAGAACTTTTGGCGTGGAAGGGTCGAGTGGAAGTTTCTTCCAGATAAAAAAACATACTGGAGATTTTTTTAAAAAAGAATTCCGTCTTATGACGTCGAGAAATAAAATAAGTGTCAGGAAAAGAAGTAAGCAAAAAAATTGGAATTGCAACTGATAGGTGAAAGCCGAGAAAAATTTTCTTTGCGTTCAATGATTGTGCAACGTCCTATTTTTCTGGTATTTTTGCCGTTGCAGTGGCTTTAGAGACTCGATCATTCCTTTGAAATTTGTTTGCTCATTATGCAATAGCCGGTTGAGTACCGATTGTTTGTTCAGTAAATATGTCGACTCTTGAGATATCAAGGACATTATTTTATTTCGGTTCCAGTAAAAAAAAATTTCCTTAAATAAGGCAAAATATTCTATGCAAAATAAGCAAAGGACATTTATTGAAAACTTTTAGAGCTTAACATCACAGTAAAGTCTAGAAACTAAAAACAAATCTGGCAATGTCACAGCACAAAATCAAACAACAAGTGCAATAATTTTTCACACATATAATATATACTTCATGTATCATATACACATGTATATCATAGTAGGAATAAATTGTCGATAACAATTGAAGTGGTTAAAGAAAACTGGTTAACAAAACTAAACCAAACAGTATAGGCTTCTAAAGCTAAAAATCACAGCAAAAAAACCTAGAAACTAAAAAAATACATTCTGGAAGCTCTTCTGGAAACATCTCAAACAACAGATCTGTTACAACCTTTAGATCGAACATGCTTTAGCCCTTACAAAAAGAAGCTGGATACAACACTTATCTCATGGCAGAGGGAAAACCAAAGAAGCATGTCAAAATCAGAATTTGTTGATCTGATTTGTTCAATCTGGAACGAGGGAATTTCTTCACTTAACATCATCTCAGGTTTCAAAACCTGTGGAATCTTCCCCGTCAATCAAGACAAGTATCCTGTTGACAGATTGAATCCAGTAAAACTTCAGAAATATTTAGATTTTAAGGAAAACTCTGTATCCCAAATAGGTAAGTTTAAAACCAAGCAAAATTATATTGTATTGTTTGGGAACGTTCAAAGTTTTGTTTCCTAATTCTTAATTTTGATCACAGACCTACTCCAATCAAATCCAGTTTCCGATTCCATAACGGCTGGAGGATCTTCTGAAGTATCATCATCGTCATCACAACACCGAACACCTTTAGCTAATGTAGACTTAAATCAACCCAGGTAAGCAAATAAATTTTCCTGCATGAAAAAAAATTGCGTATCAGGTTGTATTATAAATGCTATTTCTTTTTCAGCACTTCTCATCAGAGTTTTGAAACTCTTTTACTTCAGAAGATTGGAACTACAGCAGCCCCAAAACTACAAAGAATGCAGATAAAGCCTGATGCCGCTGTGGTAACATCTGAAGAGTATATTGAGAACATCAAAGCACGAGAGGAATCAAAAAAGAAACCAACTGGCAAGAGGAAGAAATCTGGGAAGGCAAACAAGTCATCTGAGCGCACAAGGAAGTCGAAGAAGAAGAAGCCTAATGAAAACAGAGCCAGCCGAGGAAGAAAGTATTGATGACCCCGATGAAGTTGAAACTGTAGCAGAGCCACAAAAAGCGTTACCTGTCCAGGAAAAAGATTACGTCTTGGCTAAACATGGTAATAATTGTGAGTATGTGTGCTGGGTCGCAAATGTATTGAGTGAAATTCATGTAGAAGTTGAGTTTTTACGTAAGAAGGGAGACAAGAATCTGTATTTTGTAAGGCCCCAGATACATGACATTAGCACAATTATTGGAACAGATGTAATCAGAGTTCTCACACTGCACTGCTCCCGAAGAGGTCAATATAGATTTCATGACCTTTCTGATTACTCAAATTTATGTTAGCATTTTAATGCATTAGTGCTGTTTGTTTCTATTCTTTAGTTAATTTTATAAGCCAAAGAGTTTTTTTATTTTTTTTAATGAAAGTTTATTATGTATTTGAATACCATGTGTTCATACAATGTGTTCCAGTAGGGCAGGTCCCTGTTGTGATTCCTGAAGAACCTGTTTTTTAATTTTATCGTTCTATTTTGACCCAAACAACTGTGATTTTTTTTCATACTACTATTATGATGACTGAAAGATTTATTTGCAGAGAGTGTTGTAGTTGTTATTAATGATTTTTATTTTGTTCTAAGCACACCTGCTTATCTTCTAATAAAACAGTTTTTGTTAATTTGGCTTACTTTCAATCCCCTCAGACAAAAAACGGAGAGTTTGGCTCACATATCAAGTTCAGCTGAGCTGCGGTGAGCCCCCTTGCGGTTAGGCAGCCACGCCGCACCGGTGTCGGAGTGGCTGCCTGCTTCCCAGGCGCTCTTATGGACTCCAGCTGTGGATCGTGACGTGGCCTTCTCCTGGTGTACTTTTCTTACCCGGGGGTGTACTTTTCTTCCCCTGTTCAGCTAGTTCCGAAATCACACCTATTATAGCTTGTTGTAATTAAAGTAGACGTCCAATCTGGATAAAATATGACTCATTTCATTCGTAAAGGTTCACATTATAACTCAAAAGGAACAGAACCGTCCCAAAACAAGTTGTGTGACCTGCACGATGCAAAGTACGTGTTTTGTACTTTTCTTCCCCAACCTACCCCTAGGGCAGCGGTTCTCAACCTTTTTGGCCCGCCCTTCTATTCAAAAAATAGGGGGAGGGCCTATGCATTTGCCTTTGTGTCTGTGTGTTGTTGTTGTTGTTGTTGTTGTTGTTGGCGTCTGTGTACAAGGAAGGAGTTGAGCTAGAGTAACCAGATTTGGAGGGTACTTCAGGAGTACCGTCCAAACAAATAATCCGGTGGTGCAAATCTCGTCCGGGTCGCACAAGGGCTGCTGCAGGTGCATCATGGTTTACTTGAGCGGGAGGGGGATTTCCGCCATTATTGGTGCTAGCAGGGCACATAGGGGTATTTTTGGAATCTGAGCGACGAGACAAGATGAATGGACCTGGTCCCGACCCCATCGGCCGCTTTTACAAGTTGGCCAGATCAGGATCTTCAAAAAAGGGGGTCCAGGGTCCACCGACTAAAAAAAATTATTGCAGATTTCGATTGGTCTCAGCAAGACCTTTTCAACGAGGGGTAGGAAAGGGGATCCAGGAGCCCGACTTCGTCTATTAGTCACATCAGGATCTTGAAAAAAGGGGGTCGACCGACTGAAAATTTTTACTTAAGTTTTCGATAGGTCTTGGCAAGACCTCTATAACGAGGGGTCGGAAGGGGGGTCCAGGAGCCCGCCTTCATGAGTTATGGGAAAAAGTGCGACGGACTCGTTCTGCGCTCCTGCTGTGCCTCTATTGCAAGGAGTTGCAGTAGCATGGCAAATATGGGTATTTTCGGAATGAGGGCGAAGAGACAAATGAAACGGGCATATTCTAAGGACAGTTGGAGTAAAAAGTGTAAGGACTATTGCATATTGTGAATAGAAGGGCGGGCCTAAGTCACGATGGTACATCGATAACTTTGCTTTACCCCCCGGGCCTTCGACTGGCCAAGTTGGGTCTGATGCGAGGGCCGAAGGCCCGAGAAAAGGCCGCCGGCAGGCCAAGCTGGGCCGGCCCCCTGTCGAACCGAGTTGCCGGCGCAGCGAAGCGGAGCTGGCAACTCGGTTCGACGTAAGGGCGGGCCCTAGCTTGTTTCTAAGATCCTGATGTAGGCAACTGCTGAAGTCGGACTCCTAGACCTCTCTTCCGACCACTCGTTGAAAAGGTCAACGGTAACTACTGTTAAAAGACTACGGAATATTTTGTAGAACAAGTACGGAAAATACTGTAGACTGTACGGTGGATACTGGTTTTTGAAGTACGGTAAAAATTGGCAAAAAAATTATCCAGGATTTACCGTCATTTTTTCTCAGAGTGTGTGGCATGCTATGTAACACACTTAAGTTGACAGAGAACACAAAAATCGCGCTTATTTAGGTACTTAGAGGTAATCGTTTCATCATATTGACCTATCGAGACCTATCGAAAGGTGCAATAAAATTTTTCAGTCGGTCGACCCCCTATTTTTAAGATCCTGAAGTGGACAATTCTTGGAAGCGGCCTTTGTTGGGATCAGATCAGGTCCTTTCTACGGCATGGACTGTACGGAAGAACGGTAACTACTGTTAAAAGACTACGGAATATTTTGTAGAACAAGTACGGTAAATACTGTAGACTGTACGGTGGATACTGGTTTTTGAAGTACGGTAAAGTTTGGCAAAAAAATTATCCAGGATTTACCGTCATTTTTTCTCAGAGTGTGTGGCATGCTATGTAACACACTTAAGTTGACAGAGAACACAAAAATCGCGCTTATTTAGGTACTTAGAGGTAATCGTTTGATCATGTTGAACTCTCAAATAGCGGTAAACGAAGCGTCCTGGTGATCGATCGAAATCCAACAATACTCTAACTACATGCTAGTTCAAGTACGTTACGAGAAATGTCTGTTCTTATTAAAGAACCGGCTCAGTAGACCAGCTCTTATTTTGCGAAAGTGAGTATTCCACTGGGTTCCCCGACTCAAAATGACCGAAATGGTGAGAAAACTCTTAATTTGAAAGCCCAAGGTCGTCAGACTTACCAAAGCCGTGCCCCAAGACCCTATATAAAGGCAAAAAGCCAAATTTTTTTTTTGGATTTTCACTAAACTAAGTTTGACTGTAGGGTAAACAGGCCATAAAACGACTCTTCGGACGAAAATTTCGTCCGTTTTGCGATATCTCGACTCCTTCATGCCCAAGCGGCCTCCCCAACCGCCCGCGCGGCGTCTTTTTTATGCTCGCGGTTGGGGAGGGCGTGTGGGCATGAAGGAGTCTAGATATCGCAAAACGGACGAAATTTTCGTCCGAAGGGTCGTATTATGGCCTGTTTACCCTAGAGTCAAACTTAGTTTGGTAAAAGACCGAAAAAAAATTTGGCTTTTTGCCTTTATATAGGGTCTTGGGGCACGGCTTTGGTAAGTCTGACGACCTTGGGCTTTCAAATTAAGAGTTTTCTCACCATTTCGTTCATTTTGAGTCGGGGAACCCAGCGGAATTCTCACTTTCGCAAAATAAGAGCTGGTCTACCGGCTCAGCCAGGAGTGGGTGGGTGTCCTCTGATCAAGATCAATGACGTGACAGAAAGTGAAGTGTGGCTTAAGCACGCTCCTCTTGCATGCTTCAGGTGAGAAAGCTGGTTGGGGTGGATTGTAAGAAGACGCCCACCTGGTGTAAGGTGCTGCTGCAGCGTGTGACCCCGCACGCCGTGTGTCCACACTAAGAACTGCCGCGCTGTGGCGCCAGACCTGCCGCAGCAGCTGGAAGACCTGCATGTGGACAACGTTGCAAACCAACATTTCCTATCAATACAGCGCATGCCTAACCTGCGGAAGCTCACCCTCAAGTGGAAGGATGTAGCACATGTCGTGAATTTCCCCCCTCTTCCTCCGGGACACCGAGGACTGCAGTGGCTTCGCGTGATTCTCGAGACAGCACCTACAGTGCTCTCTCTCATTAAAACCCACGCCGCAACCCTCCAGGAGCTGCGACTCCTGACGGCGTCCGAAGGGAAGTCGGAACGGCACTTCAAGGACTTGGCCAACAGGCTGCGGAAGTGTGAGCTGGTGGCGCTGCGGCGTCTCGTGTTGCTGAGGGAGTATGCGCCGAACTACCCCAGCGTCAAGATCGACCACTCAGAGGAGTCGTGCCGAAAGCAGAAGGAGGCCATCTGGGACAGCCTGCTGGCGACGGACGCGAGAAGGACAGTCAGAGTGGTGGAAGTTCTGTGCGAAGTGTGTGACAGGTGCCCCGCCTTTCCCGCCCTAGGTGATTTCACCTGGCAAGATGTTTAAGTTACTGTGAAGGTGCAGGTTTATAACCATGCATTCTCAGCGGACTTACTGTTACGTGATCTGTAACCTCTACATTTAAAACATTTACTTGAAAATGGTACTCTCAACCTCTATTTTGTTTGCGTCATTATTGTACTTCGTTAGTAAGTAAACTTTGGCTCAGTGAGAAACGTATGTACTTTCCCACCTTCCCTTTCACCCGCACCTTGCATCTACAGGGTTTGTTCCACTCGTGTGAATTTTGTCAAAATGCCAGATGTCTGAAATCATTGTGGGTCATTCCATGGGGGTTCGACATACTTTTACAAGTGATCTCTCCGATTCCAATGAAACTTTGCGAGCTTGTTGCCTATGGTCCGAAAGCCCCCAAAACCAATTTTGAGCAAAAAATACCGATTTTCGAAAAAGTTATGGCTTGCGTTAGAAATTTTGATTTTCGTTGCAGACCTTTTTTGAAAACGCCGTAGTTTCTTCAAAAATGAAGCTACAGGGCTCATTCTGGGCGCATTCGAAAGGTATTGAATTTAACTTTAATCCTATTGCAACATTTTGACAAAAATTTTCAAATTTGACAAAAATTGAACGAAGTCAAAATTTTGAACACAATTTTCTCAAAAGTAGTATTTTTGATTTTTTTTCTTTTTTGATATGTTTAGTCATACTTTAGTCTAGCAACCCTAAAAATTTTGGTTCGAAAAAATTATAAACAAGGAAGAA